ATACAGCGGCAAGGTCAAGGGAGCATGTGAAGTAACTCGAAGGCTCCGGCCTCCAACTATGACTGCGGATTATAGTCTTGGGCATTTTGAAAGGATATATCAGTGATGTGATATATAAAGAAACTGATCTAGCTGCTCGATCTTGGTATGAAGTCCTCCAAAAGGTGCTAGATTGCAAGCTCACTCATGTGTAATAACGAGAAAGTGCTCCCGTGGAATGTACAAGGGTGCACCTGCCCTGTTGTGGAACACTTGATGTGCACTACTTGCAATCAATTAATTTTCCATATGATGAAAGTGGAAATTATTGACAATGGGACTTCCCTTTTTTAATATTATTTTCTAAAATAAAATAGAATAAAATATAATGATAAAAGGTGTTTGGGTTTCCCTAGCCTTTTTCTCATCTGACAGGTGCAATCTGAAAAGAGGAAACATAGTTAACGTCATCACTCCAAAACCTAGTAAAATAGCGTGATACTGGCCGAAAGTGCAATTGGTTGTAAGAATGCAATAAATTAAGGGCTTCGAATGTTTGTGAATCGAAGCGAAGCTATCTGCATACTTTGTAGTTTGTATAGGTTGTATCCACAGAAAGCCAAGCGGAAAAGGCTAATGAGTGTGGTGGATACAGCACTTTTGATATATAAAATTGCGGTATATTGATGAAAAGCGCATCTGCATCGAAAAGAACTCTTCTACATAATTCTAGTATTTTCCTGAGGTACAATTGCTCAATGCACCATTTCCATTGACATGTCCGTTTCCGTTGATATACCCATTAACCTTACTGCTAGACTTAGCTTTGCCATCAATACCATTCTCAACATGACTGTTAGACCCGTTCAACATGGCCGCCTTCTTTGCAGCGTTCTCAACGATCTTTTTCTCCTCCATCTTGGCATTCTCGGTGTAGCCAGTATCACTAGCGTCAACGTATGCTTCCAAACCTTCGCCATTTCTTGGATACTCTTTCATCAGTTCCTTATGCCTTTTCAAAGCAGTGTTCATCTCTTCAGCGGAAACATCATTCAAGAACACACAGGAGCCTAGAGGGCTTGGGACAGCGGCGCGAAGAAGACCATCACGAGTCTTGAGAATTGCAGCAGTGGCCTTTGCTAACATCTCTTTGTCAAATTGATAGTGGTCCATTGATAAGCCAGCTCGTGAGAACAAATTGAGTAATCTTCGGTGCTCTTCATCGCTGATCAGTTTGCGGTTGTTTGCGAGCGTTGCAGAGTATGCCATGTCGATTGAGATGGCATGGCCATGGCGAAGTGGTGTCTCGGGTACTAGCTCGTGAAGAGGTGACCAGGTGTGTCCATATGCGATAACTCGATCAAGACCAATCTCGTGCAAATTGGGTGTTTCAAGCTTCAACATCTCGTGGATACCCTCACGGTTGATCTTGTCCGCAGCATCGATCAACTCCTGTGATGAGCCTTCTGCTCTTCCGAAACTTTGATCAATGAGCTGTTCACAGTATTTGTCAAGCAGGTTGAAAGTATCCAAATGTGAACATGTCGAGATCTTGATCAACTCGGCAAAACCATTTCGTATTTGAGCAGTAGGCAGTGTTCGTAGAAATGTAAAGTCGAGGAACGTATGGATCGGAGCATGGTAGGCACCCAGACGATTCTTATAGTTGCCATAGTTGACTGCAACTTTAATAGACACAGATGCATCAATCAAGCCAATGACAGTTGTAGGAATTCGGATAAAGTTGGTGTTTCGTCGATAAGCTGCGCAAGCAAATCTATGTAGGCCTCAAGTTAGCGTGCCCCAGGATGCGTAAGACAAGTTTAGGAGAATTATGGGAGAGTGCCTTGATGTAATCTCTGGCTTCAGGATTTTTTATAATTACCCAGCAACATCGGTAACTAGTCCACCTCCGACAACAAGGATAGGTTGCTATAGCAGTTAGAATAATAAATCAAATGCCCGTCAGCAATGGTTAGAGTACAAACTTTGCGGTAGATTCCAAACTCGTTCATGGAATCCACGATGCTCAGAAGTGTAGGCATCGTCTTCGCTTTTTCCCCGATCTTTGTCTTGTGAATCTTCAATTCGAGTCCATAGTGCTGGAAGTAGTTCTCCATCTGCTTGCCATAGACGTTGTAAATATTCAAGTCTGTGACAGCCAAACATCTCTTCCATTTTTGATAGCAGTTTGCTAAATTAGGATTTTCCACATTGAATACACCATCAATGAAGGTGAAATCATATTCGATTTTCTCGTATCCCTCTACATGAAATCCCAAATGGCCGGAAGGCGTTTTTGTTTGAGAAACAATTGCTTTGAGGTCTGACATGATGAATAACAACGAATATGAAAAAAATGTAATCCTGCAGTTCAGAGATCGGAATGAAAGATTTCAACGGCACGGTGAGTGCTTATAACACATGCTACAGTCTTGTCCATTTTTCAGATAACTTGGAATAGGTAATCTATACTGCACCATATCGACCCGCTCCTACGGAAAGTACCCAGAAGGACGGACAGTGCTCGGACCTGAGCTAATACCGCCAATGAGAAGGAAAATTTCAAGGGGTACAGGCATGCTTGATATTCCGAGATGCTCTAACTCAGTAACATTTGCACTTGTTCCATATCAACACGACAAAGGAGATGGGAAACAAATTGTACGTGTCAACTACTAACGGAGGAAACCCGGCGCGAGTTGTCAAGTCCTAGCAGCCAAAAGTCATCTATATTCATGTCGTACGCAGGTACAACACGAACACGACATGGGAAGTGCAATTTTATAGCGGAGCAGTAGAAAAGGAAGGAAATGCACTAGAAATAGTGGATACGCACTATGAAAAGAGCAGGCCTTGTCAGCCCCCGGCTTGGTTCCTAGCCGACCCCAGATCTCTCCAATGCCAGATCCTGGGTCTGGAAGGCGGGAAGATCTTGATTATAGGGCAGCTAGATCTGGTAACAGTTACTTGAGATCATCCTGACACAAGAGAAACGTTCTATTGAAGGCCGTGATGCTGTTGTTGACGTGTTGCTTTCGGGTAAGTATATTATTGCATGGACGAAAACACTCGGGATTATATCAATGTAATTCAGGCACTTACCCGAGTCGAGGATTCCACAACATCCCACGGAAGTCAGCAGCCGGTATCGCTAGGGTAGAAAAGTCATGATCTCAGTGTTGTATTGTTGGAAAGATGTTAACGTTGCCGAGAGTTAGGAGGGTACAGCTCTAGCGTAATCCCCACTTCACCCGCCTTGAATTTCAAACGGAACCATCCAATTCTTCCCTGTTGATAATTTTCCGGTCTAACACCCTAACCTATTGTGAGACGGCTAGCAATTTAGTAGTAACGAGGCAAAAGCGTGCCAGTAAGTATTGGCAATGCTGTCTCTGTATTTACGTTCGTAATCAACTGACACAAAAATCAATTACGCGTACATGTTGTGTGACTTCAAACCCTGGAATATGTGTCCCTGGGAAGGAATTGGGCAAAGGGGCCCTGCTTCCGCTGCTACTTCAAGATCACTCCCGAAATTTATGAGCCCAACAGTACTACCAAGAGCTCCTAAAGGCGTTGTTCACACATTAACTTGTATATCGTGTCAAGGAGAAGTTGGGAATGTCCGAATTTGACCAGAAGAAAGCCTATGTGGCAGGAGGGGAAGGAAATTTTGTAGGTTTGCCTGACTTACGTTAAAAGTAAATACTGATTATGTCTAGTTCGGTGATGGCCGTGAAGAAGAGCTTGTGGAGTTCATGACAAACCACCCGAATGGAAGTAAAATCAAAGGCTCCCCTTCGAAGGTCTTGGCGGCGATTGACGAATATGGCCGAACCAAGAAATACCTTATGAATGTTGGCGAGGATAAGGGAAAGATAGTAACAGACATCATTCGAGAACGGAAGCCGGACACGATGGTTGAACTTGGGGGATATTGTGGCTATTCGACGATACTATTCAGCTCTATATTGAGAGAATCTGGTGGGAAAAGATATTTATCTTTGGAGCGCAGTGCCAAATTTGCCAAAGTTATTGAGACTTTGGTGAAACTGGCTGGCTTGGATGATGTGGTGCGAGTTGTGGTTGATTCAAGTAATGATGGAATTAAGAAGATACATCAAGAAGGTGTGAAGACTATAGATATGATGTTCCTGGATCACTACAAACCCGCGTACACAACCGATTTGAAGCTTTGTGAGAACCTGGGGTTGATAAAGAAAGGAACGGTTCTTGTAGCAGACAATTGCATTTCGCCTGGAAACCCTCCATATCTGGAATATGTTCGAAGCACTGTTGAGGAGAAGCGATTGAAGTTGACTGAGGAGAGCAAGGATGATACCAGTGCTTTCGGGAGTCGCCATGCGGCTCAGTACGGCGAGGTCGAGCAGTTGAGTGTTGAGGCGAAGGGGAATCCAAACATCATCTACAAGAGTAAGATGGTGAACAGTTTTGAGCCTTCAGGTGATCCAGTATGATCTAGTTCCTTTTATCCAGGCCAGCTGCTAACAAGTTCAGGATGGTATCGAAATCACAGAATGCTTAGGAGAAGCTGATACATAAAAACGTGAAGGCGCAATGTCCTGTTTATAAAAAACTTCATACTCTAAAATCTATTGTCGGAATATGAGAAAAAACATTTTGGAAGGGAAATAAATTTGACTGCTAAAGCAAATGGCTTCAACCGAGCTTTCTATGTATCTCCATATAGATCACAACTGCATACTTTCAAGTTAACCTTATATTTCTAAAGCTTGGACAAATAAATTTCGCTTTAAACACTAATCATTTCTGTAAATGAGGTTATGATACTTAAGTGTATGGTAAATCTCACAAAGAAATACCAGATGAAGAAATTGCGACGGCGTATTTTCGGAGTAGAAATTTACCCCTCGTATAATTCAATGCCTAGTGTGAACTGAGAGCCAATCATACTTGCAGCTGAAGAGGGCTTTTACCCCACTTTAGGACAATTATGTATAACCTTAAATAAGCTCAAATTTTGTAAAACATACATCGCCCGTTTGGCATAGTGGTACTGCGTCTCACTCGTAATTCACTATTGTGATACATACGCCATGAGAAGATCCTCGGTTCGATTCCGAGAATGGGCAGATGAGATAAATTACGTAACTTTATTAATCTTGGGTTTAATAGTTTTTTTTTGTCCGGTTCCTCTTCCTTTTGTTTTGATAAAGTACTTGTTGCTAGAGAGTGTGAGCGGGCTTAGCAACATGGAAAATTAACAATACCTAGCCGCTCGTTTCTCTCGCCCAGCTTTTAAATAAATAATGAAAACTTGAACTTAGCATATGGTGAAGTCGAGGCTTGAAACAGCTAGATTACAAGATGTCGATAATATAGAGTATCCTTCAATAGTTACGGGAAGATTTCCTAAGTATCATTTTATTGAAAGTATCGTATAGAGTGAAAATAAATTGTGCCAATGTCACCATACAAGCAAAAGACCATACCCCGTTCATACCCTCTACCACTCGGGGGCTTACATGGTTTGATTTAACTACTATCTTGGCTTTGATGCAAGAAAGGTAAGACAACATCCCCCTTTCAATTTTTTCTCAAGAAGATTGTAATTCTAAAGCATCTTAGTCAGGTACGGTCGCTGCAAAATAGCCGCCAGCTCGATTGGCACATGTGATAATGACGTGGATATCTAATCAGCCAGTTGGCCCTGCAGTCTGCAGTCCCACTTGAAAAAAGTACTGGTTCTCGAAAATATATCTTCTTGAACCTTATTTCTCCAATCGCAATGGGTCAAGTTACCTCACGGCAATTCAAGATTATGGAAACCCTTCTTCTCGAATTTCGGATTTTTTCATAATGCCCCTCTCTCGCTCATCCCCCACTTACCTCCACTACCTCCAGAACATCTCCTTAATATTTCTGGCCCTCATTTTTGCACCACTCTGTACGTGGATCGCATTTCTAAGTAGTATTATATCGCCTTTTACAAAAGCATCCAAGCACATCAGTCACTCTCAAAAATGGCGGCAAAGATCCTCATCGACTTTCAGGCCACGAACTATACTCGTCACAGGCGTAGGAATGAGCAAAGGCCTAGTCATTGCACGAGCATTCTACCGCGCAGGACACACAGTAATTGGCGCTGATTTTGAACCATATTATATCCCAGTCTCAGGACGATTCTCCTGCTCAATCACAAAATTCTTCCGGCTTTCGAAGCCCAACGGTGCAGCAGGTTCAGCGACCTACATCCAGGGTTTGCAACGGATTATCTTGGAGGAAAACGTTGAGCTCTGGGTAAGCTGCTCAGGTGTAGCATCTGCCCTCGAAGATGGAGAAGCAGCAGAGGCAGTCCTCAAAGGAACGCAATGTATACCCATCCAATACGGCACTTCTCTCACCGAAACCCTGCACGAAAAGCACTCCTTCATCTCAAACACGAAGAAGCTAGGTCTTAACGTCCCAGCCACGCATCTTGTAACCTCTGAAACTGAAGCCCTACATGCTCTCTACCCAGATCCAGTCCAATTGGAAAAGAGGAACGGGCAGTCGTCCCCTAGGTCGAAGATGAAATTCATCATGAAGCCGGTAGGGATGGACGACAGTACGCGCTCTGACATGACGCTTCTCCCACTCTCCACGCTAAAAGAAACGGAATCTCACATTCGTCGACTTAACCCTACGCCGTTCCGACCATTCGTATTACAGCAATTTATATCTGGTCTAGAATACTGCACGCATTCCCTCGTCCTCCGTGGCCAGCTAAAACTCTTCATCGCATGTCCATCTTCTGACCTTCTCATGCACTACACCGCTCTCCCATCCACAAGTGCGTTAAGTCTAGCAATGCAGCGCTATACTTCAATCTACGCCTTCAAAATGGGACGACGAATGACGGGACACTTTAGTATGGATTTCATGGTTCCATCTGATATTGCAAAGAACGCTCAATCGTCTTTTAGAGCAAGCGAGCAGGAGATTCAGGAATTGATGAATCGCATCTACCCTATTGAGTGCAACCCGAGGGCTCACACAGCAGTGGTGTTGTTTGGTGATGAGGCGGAGAATATGAGTGCCGCTTACTTGTCTACTCTGCTCAGCTATGAGCCTACGGGGGTTGTGAATGGGCATAAAGATGCTACACATATCGTAGTACCGAGGCCAGGTGTTCCTGGTTATTACTGGATTTCGCACGATCTTATTACTTTAGTTATGCTTCCAATCCTATCAATTATGAGAGGAGAGATCGGTATTCATGAGTTGATTGGTAAGTGGGTGGAGTTTGCGGGTCATGTGTTGTTGTGGAAGGAGGGAACGTGGGAAGTATGGGATCCATGGCCTTGGTGGTGGAGTATTGTGGGGTATTGGCCGGCTATGTTTGTAGTGAATCTTTGGGAAAGGCGGTGGTGGAGTAGGTGTAACGTTAGTACAGGGAAGGTGTTTGGGTGCTGAGTCTCATGGGCAGGTTGAAAGTTGAAGCCCTTAAGCAGAGAGAGTTGAGTTCCTAACAAAAAGGATCACGAGCCGAGCATGGGGTATGACACCGATGAAAGAAGGAGATGAAAGTGGCGGCTGGGTATTCAAATATCGAATCAGGAGCATATGAGCATATGAGCATAGGAGTAGAGTATATGAATATTTTGCTAAGGCTAAGGGATGGTACATATATTACCTAGCATTGAAATGGTAGGAGCTCTGTATGCATCGAATGGTGACATTATTAGTATGAAAAAGAGACGACGCAATAAAAAAATGTTAGTAAAAGACACCTAAGAAAGTCCTCCTGGTCTACGATCTTCGGCTATGATATTATGTTGTGCTTCCTTTCGAACTGTAAGATCCTCGGTACCAAGTCTATACTCCAGATAATGGCACATCTCGATATATAACATCTCACCTTATGGTATCAGGAACCTCATTCATAGAAAATATATTCATAAGTATCGTTACATCCAACCAGCAATAAGTGTTCCAACATCTCAACACTATTATACAACATCACTATGTGTCCGGATTTAACAGTCCATCTACATACTGTACCATCCATACATAGTCTCTACAAGATAACGTTCGCTCGCTAATTAAATGCATTTGTCGTTTCATTATATCATGCCTGTTACTCCTCTTTTCTTTCCTCTCTACCCTTCTCTTTTCTTCTTTATCCCTCTGTTCCCTGATCGAGATCATAGTCCTATTCTGGAGTTGTAGCCTTCGTTCCCCCAGTTAAATAAGCGCTTGGCACCTTCGGCACCCTCGGGCTCCTCGGCGGTTGACTCAACCCCCTCCTCCCCTCAGCTCTCAAATTATCCCTTAACCTATCACTATCTCTCGTCCTTCCTCCAGTCAACCTCCTCATTCCACTCCGTGTCCCTTGAGCAATTGGCCTGATCATATTCTCAAGGAAGAATGAACCTTCACCGGAAGGAGGAGCACGTTCATCGTCGCCGTCTGAGAAAACTTCTTCGGTGTTGTCTTCGTCCGAGAGATAAGTTGTTACATTGGATTGGAAGGATGCTGGGGCGCTGGGGGAGGTGACGGAGCGGGCGTGCATGCTTGGTCGGGAGGACCCAGAGCCTAGATTGAAGGCACCGGGATTCATAGCATTGGACGTCGTGTCCCGACTTCCGGGCGCAGGACGCATATCTGCAAAACCATTTTGGAAGCTTGTACTGCTCGACGTCCTCGCAAGAGACTGATGAAGGATTGGGAGGGTTTGCTCATCGTACAGCTGAGCCCCTGATTCGAAGGCCTCTGCGGAAAAGCCTGCTTCGGTGATGGTGCGGGAGGAGCGGCCGTCACTACCAGGACTCGCAAGGCTGTCTTCGAAGAAGTCGTCGAGGCTATCAAGTTTCATGACTAGGTCACCAATATTTCCGTCTCCGCGTGCTTCGTCCGACATCATGGTTTCGGTTCTCTCGGTATTGGGGAAGTAGCCGTACTGGAAGTCATCGACGTGGAATTCAACGTCTGGTGTTGGGGTAGGTTCTTCGCTCATGTTTTCTGTCGTCTGGCACATGTAGAATGCGGCGTGCACATTGGATCTTGTTGTTTCTGCGTGTTTTGCTGGGACTGGAATTGACCAGCCTGATTCTTCGGGGATGCCAAACAAACTTTGCGTTCTTTCGTATTCTTTACGAATAGCCTTTGAGGATGCCTTTGTCATACTCATGCGTAAATGGTGCTTGTCCATTGGTGTTCCAGCCATAGTCATGATCTGATCTAAAACTTCCAATGCCTGCATACAAAATTCTGTCTGTAGTAGCCGCAAAAGTGGTGAAATCAGGTCCGGACCGTGTGAAGCAATTTCAGGTTTCCGCATATCGATGTCTGGGATTACAGTGCAAAGGATTCGCATTGTCTTGACCTTGAACCACGGAACGCTATTTGTCAAAAGACCCATAAGGAAAATTAAGCTGCTGAAATCCGATTGTGGAAAGAATGACTCTCGCAAAGCAGACACGAGTTGTGCTAGAAAATCTTTACTCGAACGATACCTTGAATTAGCGAAGCCACTCAAAGCTCTGGAAACTGTGCCGCAGCCTTGAACTTCCGCAACCTCAGCTAGAATACTAGCGCTCTTGACGCACTGTGGATCGGGTAAATCTTGATCCATAGAAGAGAGAAATCTGGGGAAATTAGCTAAGGCACCGAAGAGGAGACGACTATCATCTCCAATTAGCTCATCATTTGGAAGCTGAATGAGTTCATCGAGAATTTTAAGAGTAAGGTGAAAGCAGGTTGATGAGCGAAGTCCTTTATATATCAGAGGCTGCAGACCTTCGAACTTTCCTTCCCATTTTGGCGGCTTGCCATCCATAAGAACTTTTCGTACAAGGGTATCTCCAAGGTCGAGTTTCGATAGTAAGACTTCTAGCATACCGAGTGCTTCTAGAAACTCGCGTTCGTTGATAGTGTCCAGGCATGCGCAGGTGGTCCAGAATAATTGTGGGAAGTTGAGCAATTGAGGAGGCTCTAGCTTGCAGATCAACGTCTTCAGTGTTGTCAGAATTTCCATCGAGAACGTCTGAACATCGGTATCGTCGTCAGCTATGGTATTCGATAGACGAGCTAGCATGTCAGCTAACATAGGTTGATCCAGAGATGTCAAGATACAGCGAAAAATTTGGAA